ATTATCGTGGTGCAAGATGATACGGCGTTTACGGTTATTTTTACGGAGTTTGTCAATAACTTCAAACAACAAATGTTCGTGTACCAATCATTATTCACGGTACAACGATACTCCAAAGCAACAGTAGCCACGTGTCCAGTTTAATTTAAAAAAGAAGCAATCATCCGCTTAGAGGCACTATGCACGCGCGCCACTTTGGTTGGTTTCGGCTCATCTCAAAAAACCCATACGCTCGACGCTGTTTTGTTTTGGGATCGTACCTATAAATCCATGTTTCGTCACCTGTTACTATGTCCCACACCAAATTTGACGCAACTTCGTTGAATCTGGTAAGCATGGCATTGCGCCAAGTGACGCGATCCGTTTTTTGAGCCTCAGTCAAATTGTGTGGGATCCACCGAGCGCACAGCTTTTTCACACCCAAATGTTTGTGTAGTATTGATTGTATTTGACTCATGCCTATGCCCAAAGATGCCCGAATCTCATGGTATGTCACATTCCTGTCTGTTTTGATCATACGGCGCACAGCACCGATGTTTTTATTGTTCACAGGAGTGAATGGGCCACCATCACGAAATTCGTCACTGAGATTCACACGACCGCGTTTAAGTTCTGCAAACCAGCTATAAATAGTCGTCTTGCATGGAGTTTCATCGCCAAAAGCAGTTTGAAGCCGAGCGAAGCTCCGCTGAGCTGTTAAATTACACTTAAAATCGTAGAAAATCATACTACGAAAATTTTCACGAGTTAAATCCATGGTGATGTGGACAACCAATTTCTAAAATGACGCCACAATGTAAAAACAAGTGACAGTCAGATGAAACAAACTGTATTCCACAGCCAAAGAGTTCCATTTTCAAGTGTTGTAATTACTTTTTAAATATTGTTTATGTAAGTGGCCTGTTCCGGAAATTTATAGTGCGCCCTATGTATGTATATAAATTTATCTACTAATATTCTCGATGCTTTCATCAATTTGCGCTTCTGCTCAGCCTAAAAGTGTTCTCTGTTATTACTCAAAATATCAATTAACAAGATAAATATGCTCAATATAATCTGTTAAATAATAACAGACAAATATGTTTGCTAAATACATTATTGTATCTAAGATAAGAGAGTCCATATATATATTTTAAAACATACAATAGTGTTATTATCAATCGTAATACTTAAGTACACGACGCTTTTGTTTATTTACACATCGGTACACAAAATAGTGCATTGTTAGTCATAACTAGTCTTAAGTATTATTCATAAAAACATTGGGTTGGTCAAAAAATTCGTGCGGTATCAAGTGTAAATAAAAACGTTTAAAAAAACTTAATCTGGGGTAATTTTACAATTCCATTCCTAAATATTCGTGTCCATTCAAAGAATTTTGTGAAGACCGAAACAAAAGGAAATCTGAAGGGGCATTGTCGCGCGTACACGGGCGGTGGATGAAATAAATCATCGCACTCTACCTATAATAGTTTTTATTTTGACAGCTTTGTAAAAATGTGTGTGATTTGACTTAACCATGATTAAATACGATACACCACACATTGACTTACAATTATATGGACGTCGGGTCCGCGCTAAAAAGTGTCCGAACTTATAGGGCGTTAAAATCGTATACAGAGCGTCATTCACACTTTAGTCTTCGTTTGTTCGACTGACAGCGAAGCAAGCAAAATTAGACAATACTGCGATGACATTACAATTTAAATTCAACGTTTTAGCTTTTTCATATTCCTTTACATGTCATTACGTTTAAATAGGTTGACTTGGGACATTTTTTTCGTGGTTTTTGTATTAGACCCGTCTTCCATTTATTTGTAAGTCAATGACACCATAGCAAAAATTTGAACCTTTTGTACCATCCTCGGTGCCATAAAGTAATTTATAAGAAAAACTGCTTCAACATGTGTATAATTATGTTCAACAATTTGCCAAATGAAAATAAATTGTTGCAAGGACATACTTTTAAATTACAATTGACAAAATGGCTTTTGACACATTGCTTCTATAGTAGTAAAGAATACTTTTGATTCCCAAATACAAATTTACTTCAATTTGAAGTACAATTAACAGTAGAAACCGAACATGAAATTAATATTTTTACATCTGCTTGCAGGTTGAACACAGTGTACCTAATTTTATTTAAGACCTTTATCATTACTGGCAAATAAACGTGTTCTATTCTATCTATTCTTTACGATCCGGTAATTATGGGCATTTTGCATGATTCCCCGCCTATTCTTCAAATGCGCAATAAAACATTTTTTTTAATGACCACAATACAACATTTTAAAAGAAAAAACTTTTTTTATTTAAAGTTAGCTAGTGGCAAAAACCGCGCGAGAGTTTTAGCCAACCTAAAAAAAATGTAGTTCCACTACCACCTTTTGACTCATTTTTAAATTCACCAACTTTCTTCTCATTTTAAAATTCACCAGACTTTGTCTCTTCATTTTTGGTACAATTTACTACTTATACACAACAAATGAATACACAACTCTTTTAACCTTTGTCATGACACTAAACAACTCATTAATTAATTGTAAATTATTCACAACATCATTGCTTCAAGTCAAATACAGACTGATAATTTTTTTGTATTAATTATGATTTTTTTGAGATCATACGACACTTTATCAAGGTCACTGACATCGAACAGCAACCAATAGAAGTTCAATAAACTAAAAACTGTTCCACCATGATAATTACAATATTTTATCACAATGAAGCACAAAGGTTGACTTGGTTAATTTTTTTTTTTACAACAGCCACCACATAACCTGATGTTGTGACCGAAGACAAAAATACCTACCAGTCTTGAGTAGCTCAAAGTTGTGGTTTTTGGAAAACTCAGATGTCAGTAATGTATTTCATTCCCTAGCAATATGCATTAAGGAGGAAGCAGAAAGCTTTGTGTGAATGTAGATATTTAAAATAATTTCAAACCAAAACAATCAGACCAATTATAATGTGTACTCCTACGCAGAGTAATTAATTATGATAGTTTCAAAATGCTACTTCTGCTATTTAAATACCTGTATATAAAATAGAATACAACACAATTCATTACAGTGTTACAATATTACAAATTAAATTACAATCTCAAAGGACGGGGTTTTGTGATTGTTACTAAACATCAATAGTTAACATAAAACTCAATATGGACAATATTCTGTATTTTTTTTATATATAATATTGTATATAAAAAAAATAATAAATACAGAACATGGTCCAAACAGAACAATGCCTAATAAAAAAAAATTAAAATTTCATTGAAAGAAACTCTACTGCTCTACAGAATTTAATATCCAATTAGATGCAATTCAAAAATTCATGAATATATGTTCGAATATTAAAAAGTTTCCCTTTCATGGAGTTTGGTAAAAATTTGCAATTTTTTTGCTGAAATTAATTTGAAAAGCAAAAAAATTTGAAAGTAAACACTTTCAAAGAATATATAACAAATTTCGCAATGTTGATCATGTTCAAATAATTTAGACATACCTTAAAAGCTGGCTGGTGCAGAAAGGAATTGAAAGGATATAATGCATATATATAAATAAAATTAATGATAATGAAGTAAAATGAAAATACTTTTCTTTTATAAAACATTGTCTGATACTAACTCTATATTGTACTGAACATAATTATAATGCATCCCAGTCTACAATTTCATTATTTAAAGGCAATCAAGAAAAGTTGAAAGTGTTGAAAGTTGAAGTGAAAAGTTTCAATCCCAATCCCACAATGGCCAAGAATGTATGCATGCTTATAGACAAAATAAACAGCAAATATTAGCAGAATAACCTTGAGGTTGTATCAACAAGATCTTGACATAGTTTTCCATTGCGTCAGTATCTTGTGCAGACTATTGATTTTTTTATAAATGTTAATATGTTTCTCTCAGAATTTTTAGTTTTATAGGGAATGACGAGCTTGTAAGGTACTGCAAAACTCAGGAAACTGTCACAGTATATGGTTTTGCAGAAAAATATAAGAAGTCTTTAATGTAACACCCTTTTTTATCCTTTCATTCATTTGGTCATACATTGAACATACAGCCTCATATTAAAAATAAAATTGAATTTTTGGGTGCTAAATAATTATTGTAATTCGTGTGGAAGTGACACATTAGAAATTAAACACACTAGAGATTTTTTATTAAATTCTGGAATATTAAGTAGTTAACAAACTACTTAGTATTCTGTTGTTTTTTTAATAGTTGCAAAATTAGTGAAAAACATTTTAATAAAACTTTTGATTTATTTGCCTTTCATTTTTATAATTTTCTTTATGAAAAACTCATGTTTTGCCAAAAAATTAACTTTTTGAAAAATAATTGTTTAACAAAACAGATCAACAGAGCTTGAAAATTTAACCCTACAACATCAATAGCGAATGTTTTATTAAATGGACCTTTACACCCTTTCTTCTTCAATGTACTGAATTATGTTACCAAAACCAACACATGTGCACATGTTTAGAAAAATCTATTATTTCATTACTTATAATAAAATCAATAGAAATTATACATTAGTCATTATCTTTATAATTGATAATCTGTAATTATAAATTCAATCTGAATAAATATCAGTGACTAATTTGGACTCTGCTTGACACACTTCAAGGACATTGAATGTATTAGAAAAATAACTTTATTTATAAAAAGACAATGGTAACTTGGTGCAACAAAAGTAATCAAGAACACGCAGATTACAGTACGAGATAATGTCTCATTCATAAACGTAAAGAAAACCGTTGAATGGAATCACAAAGGCAGCAATATCCACACAATAGGCACCGTGCAGGCCCAACATAATGTCGTCACAATAACACTCGATTTCAAGGATAAAAACTATTATTACACGTATTATCTAACACTACATATCGCTAAAATATAGAAACATTCCTCCAATGTCAATATACAGCAGCATTTATCATAAACATACGAAAAATCTAATATAATAATACATAGCAAAAAATCAATACGTTGTACTTACTTGGTTGTCCTGAAAATTGTTCGACCATTCCGAAGTCCAGGTTTTTACAGCGAACATGTTCGACTGCTCGTGAATATTATTCAATAAACCTACCACGTCCATTTTAAACTACATACACTATTTCATTTAAAGAAAAATATTTTACATTTCTAGAAACAGACGCAACTCAGCTGTTTGACGTTTGTTTCATTGCCTTGCCTATTTTCTCAGAGTTCTCTGACAGATGATTGAATGAATTAACTGAATGAACCTTAGAGGATGGAAATTCCATAGTCTAAGGAATGAACTCGTAAACCTAAGTAGGTAGATGGCGCCTAGTGTCTTAAAGACTGTTTAGTATCCATATGCGTTAGCATCACGTTAGCAATAGCATCTAATAGTCTGTGTTAGTATCCACAGGCATCATGACTTTTTGAATTAAAAAAAATAATTTGATTATATATTGTTATATGAAATGTATTAATATAGTAAAGGTATCATGAGTCCTATTTGACTAAAGTAGTTCTTATCTCTAAAGAGCCCTATTTGTAGATGCATCGTGTTACTTATCCCACATGTTGGCAATGTTAGCAATACTTCACTTTTTATTACTATGATTGTTATTATCAACTGTGGGTGAAAACTTTGTAAAATAAGTTGATGGTGTTCCAGTCTACATGGCCTTCTTTTTGGCTGTTCTGAATATTGCCCTTAGCTAAAATTTTATCAATAAAAAAATCAACTTGAATACACACTTTGAGCATAGTTATTTTTGTACAGAATTGACTATCGTCAATATCGTATACTCGTATCGTGCACTTTCTTCCTTCGCTTTTTTGTTTTATGCTATTCTTTCAGTTTGACAGAGTGTCTCTAATCAGCGTATTTCAGTACGCTAAAGAATTATTTCTGATGTTTCTTCCTGTTTGTTCCTGGCTTAAGGTACTGTGATTATGATAAAATCTTAACAGATTCCATGAAGAAATGCGTGGCAACGTAATCATTTTAATATAACCTAACCTAACCTCTGGTTAAAAAAACCGACAAAAGTCATTCATCCTCTAGTTTACCACCCTTAGAGGTGAAATATTTTCTTCAAATTTAAATGGGACCACTTCTGAGGTACCCTCTTTCCAACAAAAAAGAATCATCAATATCGGTTCACAAATGGCGAAGCTATCGCGTAACATACAAACAAAAAAAAACATACAGACGAATTGGGAACCTCCTCCTTTTTTTAAGTCGGTTCAAAATTAACATTCAACTTTTGGGTTTGCTACACACATCGATCGTTGACATTGTAACGACATAGCGTCTGTAAATAGCTATAAAGGCGTGGTTGACCATTTTTAATAAGTTCCTAACATCGAGTATATAACCAGAAATCGAAACGAAATGTCATTTAATTTGTTTGAAAACTATGCCAAATAATTTCGGGGATAACTGCGTTCCGATTGGCCAGCCCAAATTCGAAACTTTTAACGGGTGTCGTCAATTGTTTTACTACAAACCGACCGTTTAATTTAATTTTTTTAATTTTTGTTCATTATAGCTTTGCTATAATGAACTAAAATTAAAAAATTACAAGTTTAATATTTAATTACCGGTGAAATGTGATTCCGTTTGTTTTGTAATTCGATGTTTTGTTGTTTTTTCCACACCACCGAATGAAACAGCTATATTTTTGGAATAACGGAGACGTACACACAGGTCAGTTGTTGGCGCGCTACTATTTCAGCTTTCTAATTTGTGCGCAAACGAAAGTTGATATTTAAATGTGATATAAGGCTCATTTGCCTGATCAGTTGCCAGGGATGGATGGCCCTTATTTCATCTTTATTTCTGACTACATACTCGTTGGTTCCTAATATGTATGTGCAATACATAAAGGATGGAAAAAAAAAGAAGTACAATACGAAATAATCGCTTTCCTGTCATCGATATCGCCATTAAGAGTCTTCCAAAGAATATTTATGATATATCCGTTTTCCGTAATTTATGCCTTCACACCACAGAGTTCCGTCCTAGCCCCCACACTTTTCCTTCTTTATATCAATAATATGCTTTCTCCTGGGAACATTCATTGCTATGCAAATGATAGCACAATTCATGGGGGATATCATGGATGCCCCACGAGCTGAAACCTAGAGGGAGCTTCAAATCTTCTCAAGAGCTGAATAGGGTTTTGAACCTCATTAATGATTGGGGATCCAAAAATCTGGTTGAGTTCAATCCCAAGAAAACACAGGCTTGCTCGTTTATTTCAAAATTGTCACCATTCCTTTCCGTTCTTTCTCCAAATGGGCAAAAACTTGACGCCTCAAGCAGTATCACTTTGCTCGGTATGCAGATATGCTGCGATCTGAACCCAAGGAGCTACATCGAAACAATGATTTAAACAGTTTCACGAAAACTCGGAATCCTCAACTAAGTACGTCGTTTTTTGACGCCTGACCATTGATACCTGTTGTACAAACAAAACGCAGGTCAGGTCTTGCGTTGATTATTGTGCACACCTCTAGGACGGCTCCGCCAAGTACCTACTCGATGCCTTGGACAGTTTGCAGCGTCGCACCTCGTGAGTTATCGGCGATGAAGAGATTTCATCCCACGTTGAACCTCTGCAACTGCGTAGAAATGATGCATCGCTTAACGCCTTTTACAGAATATACCATGGCGAGTGCTCTGAAGGAATATTAATTAATCTTATCTCTCCCTCCCCTTTCCTGCTCCGAAACGTGCGTTGGCCTCCGTATAGCGATGGGCGAATCGAGGTATGTAAATCGATTAACTCGAGTTACTCCCACAACGAGTCAACTCGAGTTACTTTTTTACGAACTCGAGCGAACTCGGTTCGCTTCGTACAGCGCGTCGGCTATTTGTTCTCACTCGGTCAGTTCGGCGACCTTCGGAGCAACTCGTGCCCAACTTGGTGAATCGTCGATTCGAATTCTACTCGCGACTCGCGGTTGCTCAGTCAGACACCAAGTCGAGTTAACTCGAGTCAGCAGTCACGTTACTCGAGTAACTCGAGTTGAGAAAAATACAACTCGTCCCATCTCCACCTCTATCGTCCTACCTAGTCATCGTTCTAGAACTTGCCGTATTCATTGCAAATATAAGGTTTAGTGGCAACTTCTCGGTCGCACAGTCGGCAAATGAAACTCCCTTCCAGCGCACGTATTCCGTCCTTCTTACGATATGAGGTCCTTCAAACGAGGCGCGAAGAGGCATCTTGTAGGCAGTCATTGTATCAACACTGCACTAGGACACGTTTAGATTCCACTTTCCATTTAACATCAGGTGGAGTCATCTGCCCGTCATGTATGAAAAAACAAATTAGTTTTAGTAGCAAAAACATGCGTTACGTAAAAATATACATTGTAAATTAGGCGATGTTCCTAAGTAGAGTAAATAAAAGAAATAATTTATTTTATACTTGCACTCGTATTACTTTATCACCAATACCACTCTAAATCAGCGTACAAATCAAGAATATGTATCAACACCTAGTAATTTTCTTCTTTCTGCAATGTAGTAAAAAAATTTTGTGACCATTTTGCCTACTCTATTGTACATGTCCGTGATGTCTGGACTATAATCTTGTAAACGGGAAAGTATCCTCTTGTTAAAAGTAACAATAGTAGAAACTGAAATAAGTAAATTAAATTAAAACCGAAATCATTAATTCACATCAATGACAAAATATTTTGACAATTATCTGGACAATTTATTAATTAATTAAACGTGTTATATTGATATAAACTTTCAAGATTTTCACACGTTATTTGAAATTTAATGTTGAGACTAAACAGTGTAAAAATATATACGTCGGAATCATCGAAGTAAATAAAATATATTATTACCTATATCCTGATATTAAATTTCAAATAATGCGAACGTATTGGTGTTCACACATTTATTCGTAATTCTAAAACCTTTTTACAGTCTCTAAATCGGTAAGCTTAGATTACAATGGCGAAATTAGAGAAATGAATGTAGAGAAACCAAAAATAAACACAAACCTTTATTATCATTTGTTACAGCCCTCATAGTTGTAAGAAAGCGGGAAGGAGCTTTATTATTAATGGGTTTAGAAACTGAAATGCGCATATTATATTGTTAATATTTATTTACCATCCTATACATTTTGAAGGCTTTTCTGACCACTTTTACTTTGTTAATTAGTTTCATTTATTTCTTTCTAGCTGAAAAGCCTGATATTTCGTCAGAGATACAACTTCATCTCGGGGAAAGAAGAATTGCCGTGTATCGGATTTATAAAACGGGTGCTTGATAAAAAGTAATAGTTACTTGGATCAGTAAATTATAAATTACAACACTGTAAAAAAGATTAACAAATAAAATATAACACAAACCTTTACTAGTTTTTCTCACAATCGTAGTCTTACACTTTTTACATTTGGCCGACGAAACTAACTGTAATAAGTAAATAATATTTCTAATAATCTAATAATGTTCCAGAAACCACACAAATTATTTGGCCTCAATCTATAGAACGTACTATCGTACTATGAGCATCAGAGCAACGGAGTTCATTATGGGGCACTTCCCAAAACACGCAGACCAAAACCAAATTAAAAAATTTACTGATAATCGAAGTCAGGACCATCCCTCCAGCGCCTATAGCCCATACCGTTCGACCACTGTAGTGTCTCTGGCTTTCTATTCAAAGAACTCTTATAACAGGACGAATATCCCAAAGAGAAAAGTGACAAAAAGTCCAATCCGTAAAAGTCCAAAGAGCAAGAAATCAAAATATCTACTGACGTAATAATAAAATGTTTAGGTAATAAAATGAGGATTATATGAGGCAGAACTGGGGCGCCAAATTACCTGGTCCGAAATGAAAACCAACGCGATGATTAAGTAAGTAATATGTACACTACAGAACATTTTGTACTATGTTAATAATTGTTTTCGTTATTTTATTAATTTGATTTAAATTCAAAAATATTGTTTGTACAGGCATTAGTATTTTATGGCATTACCTTTAAATTTAAGTAATATATATCGTGATTACTGAAATAAATTATATTTTGTTTTATGATTGATTATCCACATGTCAGTAATCCGTCATTTAGAAATTTAGGTTTTCTTGTTAAAAATCCATTTTATGACGCCTTGAACTATTTCATTTTGTCGAAGGAAACAGTATGTGCAGAAAATATTCAACATAAAACTCGTCTGACAGCGCATGGGATCCTTTTTTTTAACGAAATGTTGGCACTTTTGTTCAAATCATTCAATCCATAGAAGTTTCATTCATTCATTTGGTGTACGTTGCGCGTAGTGGTCGTGTGTACGTGATTCGTATACTTGAATTTCGTACAAATTGTAATTCGCCTTTCAATTAACGTCGCCACGTTTTTTACGTTACATCTTAAAAGGGTAAACGTCTTACTTTCTTAAATATTGACTTATTTTAATTTTTTAATAAAAGGTCTCCAATATGGCGGCGGCTCGTTGCGTAGCAAGCATCTAATTTATAGAGAATGAACAACCGGTCTAATTTTCCAGATGTCTCGCTACCGCGAATGGGACCTTTCCTGCAAAGTGTACGTCGGTAACCTCGGTACAAATGCTTCAAAATATGAAATTGAGAAAGTGTTCTCGAAGTATGGAAACATCAGAAATGTGTGGGTAGCCAGAAACCCTCCCGGTTTCGCCTTCGTCGAGTTCGAAGACCCTCGCGACGCCGAAGACGCAGTCAGAGGATTAGATGGAACGTAAGTGTAATATACCTTATATATCCTTTATATTATATCGCTCATTCAAGTATTGATTTATTGTGAATGTGTGTATAGACCTGACGCCATGTTTTATCCGCCCGCCATTTTAGATTCAACCTGAACGGAAATGCGTAACGTAGTAGGTACACCTATAAGTTGCTATTTGAGTAAACTTTGCAGAAAAGCTTTTAATTCAGAACTTGAAACTACTCCTGAAAAATGATTTACTTTCTTTTGGAAGCTTTTAACTGTGGCTCACTATTATGCCTACAATGCTTCTTAGGCTCGTATTCTAGAACTCTACTCAATGCTCAAGTCAGGATTTGAGTATGGTTTAAAGCACTCGAAATCATACTCAAGTCCCTGCCATTAGGGTCGTAGTTCCAGCACTTGTGTTTCCAGCAATCCTGACTTGTGAGCATTGAGTAGAGTTCTGGAATACGACCATTGTTGTTTGACCAGTGTTGTTTAATGTACATATACTGTTTTTGGAAAAAGATTGGGAATCCCTCCCTCTGACCTCCTTTGGAATTTATTCCTATGCTTACATTCAGCATTGACATAGCCAAATGCAGGAGGTCGGGGAATGACTCTCAATCCTTTGCCCAAAATGGTTGTCATAAGTTTTAACAGTCTTCAGGAGGGTGGGTGCCCAAACAAAACTGAAGTGAATAGTTACATTATTCATGATTGCATTATCAGCATGAGTAAATTTTTAAAGTCAATGTTATGGTTTTTACACTCACCACATACTAAAGGTATACCTAACATGATCATTATTTTCGTTGAGCAGGATGGGACATCTGTAAATTTAATATTGTTTTAAAAGTAAAACACATGTTTGATAGTTACAAAGTGTTTAATGATTAAAAATTAGAAAAGCAACCTGGCACATCATGCTAATAATTCATTCCTACAAATGTACATTGAGTGCAGATGCACACACATACATCAAAATAAAAGGTGCAGGCAACAACATTTATTTTGCTGCTAGGCTTCGCGCCATTTTTAAAAATTTATTGTCACGTTTGTCCTGTTTTGTCAAAGCGTGATATTTTTAAGTATTTCGGGGTCAGCTGGACATGACGCTGAAAATTGTAACTGTACCTCATGTTACATTATACCATATAACAAACTTTAGTCAACATAAACTCATGACTTAAAATATAGTGTGTACTTTTGCCTACAATATAATAATATTATTGTTATAGTCAAATGTATACACAATCAAGGGAATGTAAAGCTAAAAAAAACCGTTACACTGTTTGTACATGTTGTGGTATAATTTCTACAAAGCCTTGACACAGTAGGTACAGCTTTCAGTATGGCAACCATACAAGTAGTTCAGATTAATTATGTGAAGAACCCCAATGTAATTATAATTCATGGTAATAATAGATTTGGATGCTTTTATATGTAAAGGTCACTATGTCCTAAGAATTTCTTGCAGAATATGAATGCAGCTATAGGTACAATTTCTATGTTCTAAATATGTAAGGTTCTGGCTCACTATAAATCTTGAAGATCTGATGACCAGGAATATGACAATTGTCACATCTCGGTACTACCAGTCGGAAGTATCAAATCTAAACATAAACAATGGTTATGATGTTGCAGTAAAACTAAAAGTTTTTTATGGCATACGTTTTTTTTTACATTTTTGACTGTCTATGATAAAAGTTAGTTGCGTAAAATTACAAATAACATTTTGAACATTTTTTCCAGTTTCATATTTAATAATTTCATCAATCTCAGAGTCTCGGGTTTTTTTTCAACATAAAAGCGCTCTCTGGGTTAGGGAAACCTCCATTAACTGAAAACATTTAAGTCATGATACTTAAAATTCATGTCTGCACTCCATTAGGTTACTACGTGACTGTAACCAAAATATAATTCATTGGCTTGGCCAATATATGAGTAAATTTTATATAGAAAGCTGTTTTGGATTAAATATAAAATTAGCATATCTTTATTAGTTAAGCATATATTCACAGACATTATTCCTTAATAATCATATGCCTGGCATTAAATTATGAATTAATATATTCCAATATTATGAACACAAACATGAGTATGTATAATAATCATGAATGCTAATGATCGTCAAGAAATATTTGGAGCTAAACACAAAATAGGAAGACTACCTTAAGCAACCTAGTATGGTCATTTGTTACCTAGCACACTCCTTAGATCCGTTCCATCATTAATGTGAAACGCTTGAGTCATAAGTGTGCTACAGCACAGTACCTCCATTCTAGGACTTCAATGTGTCTTTCCTCATGAACTGCACTTGTTCTGGTTTGGGGAACATTTCATGCATTTTATAAAGTAATAAGTGTAACTGTATTTCTCAGTGTAATATTGTAATACATTTTTTTTTGTCACAGCCGGTGCTGTGGAACCCGCATCCGTGTTGAAATGTCCAACGGCCGCACAAGAAGAGACCGACGGTACTCTAGGTAAGCTTAATTTATACTTTGAACTGAACATAGTATTGTTTCAGAGTTTACACACTGAATAGATTTCCCTTGCTTTGAATGCAACTATAATATTGATTCACTGGGTTCCAAAGGAAGTATCTTAAAATGATTAACAGAGAGTACTGAGATGTCAGCTTGTAAGCTCATATTGTGTGTGGGTCTGTAGACCAAGCTATAGCTTGGCTGCTATTTTTTTTACAGAAACATACTTTTTAAACAATGTAAAACTGTTAACGTAATTATTTAAATTGATAAAGAAGATACTAAATGTGGTGGGTGTTGGAACGTTTGCAGGTCCATTTTATCAACCAACCACCAACACACCAACGACCTCACCACATCTCTTCACCACAACTACGGCTCGTTTACCAATAAGACATCCGCGAACGCCGCTCGCAACATCCCGCTCAACTTCTGCGATCGGCTCTCCAAACTACTACGCGCTACCGAAGTCACCAACTGCGTCCCCATAACCATCCTCTTGACAGCCATTACCTAACCTTATCCTACCTGAACCTGGATATGAACTTATAAATGGGAGCCACACAGTATAGGATCCTACATCCTGAGCGTTATTACAACCTGAGTCCCGCCGCTTCACCGACTGCACACACTCGTCGTCACCGTGGCACCGTGCTAGAATACTACCCCAGCGGTCAACTCTTCCGCGTCACCACAATTTGTTCTCGAACTTCCGATTAAGCCACGGCTCGACGGAAGATAACGTTGAAACTAGTCACCGCCTCGGTGTTCAAGTAAAAATCCCTTCGGCCTCACAGCAGCCCAACAACGGTCAACCTTCTTCGCAGGCTCACCAAGTCTCGGTACTTTTTGAATCCTATACTTAGCACTACCTTACCTTTACCTGTATTTAGCACTAGTGAAATTTGTGTTGGCGTTGAGGTGTTGATTAGGGCTTCACAATAGGTAAATAATGTAGAGTAACAATTGTGAAGCTAATAGATTAATAATTACTGCTCATGAAGGCGATGTTAACAGACATCTATTTGGTTTAGATGACATAAAAGATCTAAAACATCTTGAGCATTCTAACTACAGAACAAAAACATAACAATAAAACTGCGGGGTGCTAGTAAATAACGATTTCCAAAGTCTAATGTTAGTCATTTTGTGTGAGAATTTTTTTATGTACTTGTTACAGTGGCGTTTTGTGATTGACTTATTGCCTTGGATTGATTGTAATTGTGTCGGCAGATCCCGCAGTCGCAGCCCGCGCCGCCGCTCTATCTCACGCGGGCGGTCTGGGTCCCCACGCCGTTCGCCCTCCGTGCGTAGGCGCTCGCCTTCTGTGCGTCGCTCCCGATCACGCGACAGACGAAGCCGATCGGACAGCAAGAGCAGGTAATTATAAAGGTACCTTTCGAATGTTGTATTCGCCTTCAATATTTTTTGCTCATAAAAGGATTCTCTGCTCACTCTGCTGTCATGAACCGGTTTCCGATCCCTTATCTCTAAACTGAGCCAATTTATTCACTCTTTTCAGATATTAAGAAATAATCAACAAGCTAAGAAGAAAATGTACAATGCGAAAACTGTAATATAGTGATGCAATGGGGGCTGAGTGCGTGTCGTGTGTAATATTTTAAGTTGTATTAAAACTTGTTTTCTCGGACAAACTTACTAGCTAATAATACACAGCTTAATCAATACTTTCGTACTTTCACTCGTAGGAATTGTGTTTATTACCGTACACTACCATGTTGTATAATTTTAGAAGACTATTCCGACCTAGATTTTGTGTACGTATTTTTAAATAATTAGGATAATAATAATACATTAAGATGACCTAAATATACATTATATATGGGATTATGTCTGGTTTTTTTATTTTTCATTAACATGTACATTTATGAGCATAGAACAAGTTATGGCAAAAATAATATACATATTATTATGATGAAGTTTTGCTTTATAATAAATAAATTACCTTTATTTTTTGGTGGTCATACAGCATGTCAACTGATATGACGTCGGATTGCAAATCTCTAATACATCAAATCGAAAAATATAAATGTAGTAATAGAACATTATATTAAATGTAATTTCCCGTGTCCGTAAATCTGTTTGCATGTATTTTTTGTGTTCTTAAATTATTTGTATTGACTGCTTACTGTTAGTGCGCTTCTTCTATATCTTGCTGTCACAAAATAAGGTAATACAGGAAGTTAAAAGTTAGTCACGCAATTAAAGAAACATTTTTATTTAATACTTATCAGTTCCATAAAAGTATATATATACATTTATATCCATAATACAGTTCACTCACGATAATCAGTACTCCATATAATCACAGATGTGTTATCTTTAAGAAAATCGCTATAAACTTAACTATATCATTAATAATATTATACAATGTATTCGATTCATTTGATAACAATTTATTTTAAAATATATCAACAACTCCTTGTACTTACAACTTGATCAGCCTGATAATTAGGGCGCGTTCCTATTATGTCGTGGACGTTTATTATGTCGTTGAATGACTGTCGTGTCTAGCTGCCCCCACTAGATTGCGACGACAATCTAAAAGCCACGATTATCTGTCGTCGCATTTTTGTCGTGACGATTTATTTATCGTCTGACGACTGTCGTTCTAGCTCTTCCCATTATCCCTTCTGTCGTCTTAACGTCAAAAAAGTCGTGAATGACAGTTAATCGTGTGTTAACAAGCCACGACACTAAAATGGTCGACTATTTGTCGTCGCGACATAATGGGAACGCGCCCTAACAATTGTTATAAAAATCACTTGTCTTTTTTCATACTCACAGGCGCCTGTCGTCTACTCTCGAAAAAGTCAAAATAAATAAAAGTTCCCAAAGCTACAAAAACAGTACCTAAAACGTGTAAAACAGTTAAACTGTTTTTGAAAACAATTGACGATATTAACAATGATATAAATCTTCTTAAAGTTAAGATAAAAGTAACTGTTACAGAAGACTCTTTAGTTGCAAACTCGTGGACAGAATGGGTGCAGTAAAACTGGCATATGATGCTTAGCGCTGTGAAGATCCAAATATCTATAGGAAGACTTGATGCGATGTCTCTGAGCTGAGGATATATGCCTATAAATAGTGGCAGTGGCAGAGCGTTAGAATAGAACAGCATCTGAAAAATAATTCACACGATTGTTAACATGGAAAACTACCCTCTGAGAGTGAGCATTAACTAGAACTGGGCGTCGCTTTAATTTGTGGGACCAACTATTATGCCTACTGCCTAACTGAGTTGGTTCCTGGGGTGGCGGTGCGGGAGGAATGTCAGTTTACGTAACAGTTATGTCGCGCTGCACTCGGGATTATTTACAGAATAACAGTGAACAGTCCTCAGCATACTACACATCGCACAGTTCAGGGACGCATGACGTAACTTATATACATTTTTTATTTATATATTATTTATTTTTAAAATAAATCCGCGAATAGTATGACACCGTGTGAATTGCGCATTGAATATTTTGAACTTTGGAAGGTTTGAAGTTTGAACACTTGTTGATGCTATCAGCACAAAAATGGTATAATTCCATAAAATGCATATAGAATATGAGAGATTTAAAATTAGCAAATTAATTTTATATGTATTGTAATCATATATGACCAATAAATAATCAGGTGTTTTAGTCGCATTTAAAGTAATATTGTTAACTTATAATTAAATGTGGGTTACACCACTAATGCGCTGTTAGTCTCAGTTATATGATTCGCTCTGGACCTTTTGGAGGGAAAAGTGTCGTTTTTATTTTGACTTTCAATTATTTTGTGAAATCTAGTTTAAAGTGGAATAGGATAGTGCTATTGTGCCTTAATCGAAGATTAAAACGTGAAATTATACGAATCTCGAACTAAAATACCCATATCGGCCCGTTTTAAGGAATCCCGAGTCAATCCAAACACGCCGCCTCAATTTGCCTATCCTCTTTGTGGCGGCCATATTTACAGAAACATAATCTACATTCTGCTAAGCGGAAAACTCGACACTGGCGAAATCTTAAAAAGAAGGAACCGCCATTAAGCAAAACGAAGAAGAAGAAGTCTCAGTTATGTCATGGGTGTCAATTATGTATTCTTAAAGTTTAATGTATTTATTTTCAATAAGAAATCAACGTTAACCTGAATTGAGGTAGTTAATTTAGCTAAACTAAAGAATATTGTGGATATTCTCTTCTACAAATCCCAGCACTTCTCGCAACTGATTATATTTGCATATGCCTATAATTTATTGAAATTTGAGTACATTGGCGACAAATTATTATTTCCTATTACTTAAGTATTTGCTGCAAATTGTTGTCTCAAAAATAATATTGTAGCTGTGTTTCTATAGGTACTTACGTATTTAAATACTTTAATCATTTAAAAAATAAACATGAGACAACTTATATTTTGTAACGTTTAGAAGAAAAACAATAAAAAAGTCATCATACGACAAATGGGTACGTCCATACTAAGAAAACGTTAATACATTAGGTAAATAACTCTCAATACTGAGCACTTGAAACAAATTTTAGAGTTCTAAATTTTTACCTCATCTGGATGCTTCCCGTACTTTCTAAATAAAATCTCTTGCTGTAAGCCAGTCAATGCTCCGAGGAACAATGTAGACAATAATATAACAACTCCAATGCACCAGTAATAGAACTCTCCCTTATTCTGTTCAGCTATTGTGGCTCCCCCGTACATGGCAAGAGATACTCCAATGGTTATAAGAATGGAACCGATGCATTTTGTTAATTTCGGCCGTTGCTTCTTGGTGTACCAAGATACTATCATACTGGCTGGCGAGGAGGCAGACCTGCAAGAAATATACTATAAGAAATGGCACCATTCTTGGCGCAATAGGTCACATCTGCAAAATTACAACTTTTAAGGAGAGAAGTTTAAAGATTCTACAAACGAAATTAAGCTTTTTATGGTTAAATACTAATTGTAAAAGAACGTAATGTTTCTCGATAATAATATTATGAAACATTATAAGAGACTAAGAAGTAAGTTGTATCAAACATTTTTATTACTATCACGTGATAATAAACTACACACAAACTCGAACTAATGTGATGCCACTTGTAATAAAAATCTAATGGAGCAACAAACATTTTTGATGTAACTCCATATATGCCATTCTTCAACGAGGGGTGCGAAATGTTGATTTCGTAACGCAGTATTGCCGCATTTCAAGTTCAAGAAAAGTGACCAAAACCAAACTAGTCAAATTTTTTGACTTATTGCACGGCTGTATTCAGAATGTGCTAAATTGTATTTTAAATAGGACACGGAGATTTCCATTGCTTAAAATAATCAATATTAATACATATAGGGCTGGCTACGAGTCATCGATTTGCGCAACTCTGTTCTTTATTAGGTGTTTTTGAAGTAGGCTGTTTATTCTAGCAAGCTATAATTGCTAGAATGAACTGCCTCCGTGGCCGAACGGTTACCGTGCCGGACTGCCACGCAGAGGTCCCAGGTTCGATTCTCAGGCCGGGAGAAATATTTGTATGGCCTACATTTATTTCTCTCGTGAATTTGGGTGTAATTTGTGCTAGGTATAACTAGTGCGGGGCTATGTTGAGAGTGTGCGTTATTATTATTGCACTTGTACAATTTGTTGATTGTCATGTTATATGATATAAAGACCTACGCAAATACCTACGCAAAAAGAAAGTTTACAGTAAACAACAAGCTACACATTGTGGATCTTGTTCCGTCGCTCTGGAGGCGATATTCGAACGAAAGTGTATGGCTTGATGAAAGAAAGAAAATAATATTATGTGGTCTCATTTCTTATGAATAGTAATATAAAGTAAACCTTCACACTAAACATTGAGATCCAAATGGTCACCACTCAGCATTTGTCGGATTGTGCATACAAAACAACCTAACGCTTATATTCTATAACGTGCTGTGTGGACTGTAGTATGCGTTTATAAGCTGTATCTAAAACGCTTATTACACTACCCGATTTCAAAGGACTCTAAAACAGGGAAGTGTAATCAGAGTTCGAAAGTTAGGGACCCTAATGACGACTTATTATAATTATAAGTCAATAACATCAGCGCCCTAACCAGGGCGAAATTGTAACAAATGTCCTACCGCAGAAAAATACGCTTATCAATGCAACGCGATAAGATAATATAGCTGCGGTTGCATTTATTTATTTATCAATATTATTCACACTACGTCTTACTACATAATTCTCTGACATATTCATTACATAAATTTATTTTATACAAGCAGTCGTTTGTTACTATTTATATATTTTTATACTTATACTTTTCCAACTCCTTTGAAAATTAGCACTTTCAAAAATTTGAGACGAGAACTAATACTTTCCTACTTGAAAGTGGAAGAAATGAATCGGCTCTAGAAACATTTTTACGAGATTGTTATGAAGTTTCCGAGGACAATTTACGTTTGATAATTAGTGATTTAAAAAAAATGCTAACACAGTTTAACAGTCCATGGAGCCAAGCATCACGAAAGAAGCCTTTATGAGGGTTAACAGTAATTGGTTTAATCAACAGTTTTTTGTAACTTTGTCAACGACTAACGATTCACTGTATTTACTTTAACTGAAAAACGAGGAAGACCATGCATGTCTTAGGAAAATTCTTCTGAATCTAATGAGCAGCGCAAAAATAGTACACTACATAATGAATATGGATTCGAGCACGTCTTTGTGCATATATTCAAGGGCTGCAATCAAAGTGAGAAAGTAACGAAGCAAAAATCGTAGAGGCATTGAGGTCTGTAGATGCAGAGAAAAAAAATATCAGTGCTACAATTGATGGACGACTGTAATACTAATAACATCCGAACGCCCATCAGATCAATTGATGAAATGACTGATACTGTTGTTTGGCAAAATCCTGTGTTCATCCGTGAGATTCTGTCATCCTATTTTATAATAATTAAGTTTTCGAAAGACACTCCCCAGAAAACTAAAGTTGTTGTTAACGATGTTCATTAGTAATTGATTATTTGTGTCCATCGTTGATTGTTAAGGAAGGCAATGACGTTCAAGTTAAACATGAACTTTTTTTAACCATGAGAGACGGCAAAGTAACCCAGGCTCAGATTACAAAACATTTGTACTCCGAGAGCCCAGATATTATTAACATGTAATATTTGTGGTACTACTCCACGTCCAATTAATAATTTACAAAATGTAGCTGCTAGGCCCGAAATTGAAAATTCTTTTCGACGTGACGGAACGAACAAGTTGTGTGCCTGGTGGTCAGCTATACCTTGACAGTTGCAGTGCCGCTCAGAGCTATAAATCGCAAAGATCTGAGGGGCAGTGCCACTGCGCCTGTCATCCTGAGGCATAAGTTCACAAGTATGTTGAGAAATGTTGTTCGATCTTTTTCACTACAATTTCTAGTAAAATTTAGTAGCAGTAGAGGTCCTTGTGAAAGAGTCCGTTCAGGGAAGTACTGCCACCTTACTTATTTCTGCCGATAAGCAGTAAATTGAGTATTACTGCGTTCCGGATTTTAAAGGGTAAAAGGTGCTGGTGAAATTACAGGTACATGGGCCTGTAATTTCGCCAGTACCCTTTACCCTTCAAAAACCAGAACGCAGTAATGCTCAAATTAACGCACACGAAGGCAGTAATGTTCGTCCAGTACTTCCTGGACGTACCGTATACTACACAAACTCTTTCACAAGGAGGTCTACTGTTACTAAAAGATTTTACTCTTCATATCTGGCAATTAGAGCATAAAATATAATTTCTAAACGCCATTTTAGGTATCATATGAATAAATGAGCATAATCACATATTGATAATTATTTCTAGTAACTTTTTGCCTATTCAAAAGTTCAAAATAATGGAGATACGATGTTTACGAATTTAACCCAGTGTATGTAGGTAATGTCGTCTGTACTCTATTGTCCGTGCAGGGAAATGCCTATTTAGATTATAATGATACGTGAAGTGCACTATAAGTTTCCGGAATGAATAAGAAAAAAATACTATAAATGGTCAGAAATGAATTTCTTGTTTCTCAAAATATTTTCCGTTAGCGTTAATGCACTTTTTCACACATACGAATGAACCAATTTTGAAAACATTTGTGCCACTCACCCGTGACAATCTCCAAAATATATTTTTCATACCTTCGCCGATACTTCATACAGCCTCTTCAGGTGATGAAAATCGATGACCGCGTAACTGGTTCTTCATTTTTGGAAATAAATAAAAGACACGGTTTACGGTTATTTTTACGGATTTTGTTAATAACTTCCGGCAAACAAATGGTCGTGTACCAATCACTATTCAAGGTACAACGATTATTCAAAGCAACAGTAGCCACGTGTCCAGTTTAATTAAAAAAGAAGCGATCATCCGCTTAGAGGCACTTTGCACGCGCGCCACTTTGGTTGGTTTCGGCTCATCTCGAAAAACCCATACCCTCGATTGCTGCTTTGTTTTGGGATCGTAACTATAAGTCCATGTTTCGTCGCCTGTTACTATGTCCCACACCAAATTTGACGCCCCTTCGTTGAATCTGGTAAGCATGGCATTGCACCAAATGACGCGATCCGTTTTTTGAGCCTCAGTCAAATTGTGTGGGATCCACCCAGAGCTTTTTCACACCCAAATGTTTGTGTAGTATTGATTGTATTTGACTCATGCCTATGCCTAAAGATGTCCGAATCTCATGGTATGTCACATACTTGTCTGTTTTGATCATACGGCGCACAGCATCGATGTTTTTGTTGTTCACAGCAGTGGATGGGCGACCATCACGAAATTCGTCACTGAGATTCATACGATCGCGTTTGAATTCTGCAAACCAGCTATAAATAATCGTCTTGCGTAGTGCTTCATCGCCAAAAGCAGTTTGAAGCCGAGCGAAGCTCCGCTGAGCTGTTAAATTACACTTAAAGTCGTAGAAAATCATACTACGAAAATTTTCATGAGTTAAACCCATGGTGATGTAGACAACCAATTTCTAAAATGACGCCACAATGTAAAATCAAGTGACAGTCAGATGAAACAAACTGTATTCTACAGACAAAGAGTTCCATTTTCAAATGTTGTAATTACTTTTTAAATATTGTTTATGTAAGTGGCCAGTTCTGGAAACTTATAGTGCGCCCTGTGTAATATAAGATTGCCTGGTCTCTAACCAGGGAATTTCCTGTACTATGAATACCAGGCAACAGAATTCACTCTGGTGCACTTCCTGAAACACCCAGAATAGAACCAATTTAGAAAAGTTCATTTGTCAAATTGGTCCTACGTTAGACCACCGAGGTCGTAATAATAAAAACAAATTACCGGATAATCATATGCAGTGTAGATGGTACGTGCAAGACATAAACATAGTTATTGGCTGTGCTGGTTATGAAGAATAACGCTACTAACAATGTGTACTGGCGCAACGGAATCTTTGATTTCACCTATAAAAAAAAGAGTCACTGTAAAGCAACAACAACAATTAACAAGTATTCAAAGTTAACAATTGATAACACAAGTAACACTAATAATATGCCAGACAACTACACCAAGACCTTGGTCTTCAACTAAAGAATTCTGTGTACTATGAGTACAATAGCAACAGAATTCTTATCAGGACACTAACCAGAACATCCCGACCAGATCCAAAAGAAAAGTTACTTTCCCAAGTGGGTCTTATTGAGACCCACAATGTAAACTGATGTTGCCCTTTATATGTAGGCATACAATATACATACGAGATTATGACTGTCAAAGATATGAAACACTTGTGTATCCGTTGGTTTTAATTCAGAGTTGTAATCAGCAATGATTACTATAGATTACTTGCTAGTTGCAGGCCCTGAATTTGTCGCCTTAATATTAACAGCACCTAGAAATAAAACTGTTTACTTTTCTGCACATATCAATGGGGAAACAAATTTTGTTATGTCTAATTGTATTAATGGCATCATATTACAACATTCCTGATGCCAAATAACCCATTAATAATAAATAAATATTAGACAACATCTCAAACCTTGCTCTGATCCCAAAGTAATGTAACTAAAGTACTTGTGCCACAAACACTCAGGTCCGAGACAATACAGAAAAGTTAATTTTCTACATTGAGCTGGCCGGGGATCAAACCTGAGACCTCAGAGATAGTGCACCAAGAAAACTAGTGTGTAAGCCACTCTACCATGGAGGTTGTCATTCAAAGGTTTGTTAATCTACTACCTTTTCTAAGTTGGTTCAGGGGTCTACTCTTGTTCTGTCTTATACAATTACTATCAATTAAGTAATACTCAACTAAAAGACTATGTCCAAGTATGAAGCTACATTGGTAACATGTGTCTTTTAAATTATTTGAGTATTATTTATTTGACAGTTATTATTTTGGACGAATGTGATACGGATAATGAGAGTACAGGGTCTGGTTTAGGTATTTAGTGAAATTTCACTTGAGTGAATTTTGTTATTTGGGTACAATAGTATAGAGATTTCTCTGATTTGATATCTGGCAATTTGTGTAGTCATCTAGCATATTATTATCCGATTCACTGCAGAATCACTATTATTAGTTTTCACTTGGCTTTAGCACTCATTTAAATACAGCATCTCATAAATTGCTTAACATTTGAGGCCGTTCCTGTCCAATTCCAGAACTTCCTTAGTGTTTGGTACTGTAGGCTTTAGTCAGAGCCTACAAATGTTCAAGACTATTGTAACTAGGCGTATCGGGAAGCATGTGTACTTTGGTTCCAGGCTACCAGTTTAGCCAAGCTTTATTAATCTCATGTCACTTTACTACTGTTTCATTTTAAATTTTTGGCACTTTAGCATAGAACTTGTACATATTTATCTAAAAAAAAAAACAATTTAAACAAGACAATTCACCTTGCCAAGTTTTGCAGTAAATATAAATCCGTGCAGCGCGATAAAGAAGAACTGTAGGAATGTTATTAAATTGGCACTGTTTGGAGATCTTGCCATCAAAATTTCCATAAGAAAAGCACTTGCACAGCATCTTATTAAAACTTGACTTAGTGTTGTGTTAAAATACATTTCTAACGAATTTTTGTAACACACAAAGCAATAAACTTAAAAAATGTAGAATCTTGTATAATAATTTATATTTGTAAATAAATGGATTAAAATAAACAATGAAATAGAAATTATTCGAAAATTTAGCGCTGCCACGCAAGGCAAAATGTATTTTTTTTTTAATATTAGTTTCACGGCATCGGAATAAATCCATCAAGCCAAATGTTCAATTTTTCTTTTCTATCTTTTTAAATAAATTTTTTTAGTTTTATTTTAGAATAAAATTATTTTAGTTTTATTAAAAACCTAATACAGAACATTATTATTTATTAAACCTATTATACCTTCAAAGGTATCTATATATCTTCAATGATGGAAATAATGTCTGCATATTATATATGTTCATAAGTCTTCGTATTCTGTAGTAAGATGGCAAGAGGATGTCTTCTTCTTTATAAATCTTTAGTGGGCCATCTACAAGAAGCAGTCTTTGCACACTGAAGGCAGGGCATTGTAGAAGTAAGTGATCGAGAGTGGCTTCATCAGTATTACAATGTTCACATGTGGCTGAATTTCTAAGTTTTAATCTGTTCAAATGAGCTGCGAATTTTCCATGTCCAAAGCGTAATCTGTTGATGGTTGTTATAAATTTTCTTGATGATGATTTGAAGTTAAAGTTGGTACTTTAACTTCAGTTCAGGGTTTCGTGGGAATAGTCTTCTGCATTTCTCCATACCATTTTCCTTTCAATTGTTTCGTGTATTCTCGATCTCGTGACGAAATATCAAACATACGAATCTTCAGTACTGAGTAGTAATCGATCATAGGAACTGATGGTGGTGAATAATAATATGATGATTGATCTATTTCATTAATGTTTGGTACATTAATTTTCATTAGACTATCCCCAGCTTCATTCCCCGTTATTCCTGAAAGTGATGGCACCCATATAAATTCTATATGTTTATCTTCAATTTCATATAAATATTGTTTGATTTTAATGATATAGATATTAGTATTGTAAGATATTTTATGACTCTCCAGGCAATTCAGTACACTTAAGGAATCAGTTACGATCAGGAAAAAGAAGTGATTAATGTTTGTTATGTATTGAAGTGCCGAATATACAGCATAAGCTTCAGCTGTAAATATCGAAGTATTATTGTCCATATTAAAGCAGCGGCCAAATTTAGCAGTCGAATCATAATAGGCAGCTTTAGCGTTATCTTTGGTTTTGGATTCATCTGTGTAAATATTCCGATAATGTTGCTTCTTGTTACTAATATACAACAGAAATTGATCATTACTAAGTACCCACTGCTCATTATGATCTATGTACTTACATTACATAATGTTTTTAATTCATTAATATGTTCCCCTTGTAATAAATTGTTATCTTCAAACAAATAAGAATTATGCCTATTGCCTAAAACTTTCATTGTGAATTTTTCTGTGAGATATTGAAGTCTTACATCAATTGGACATATACCAGCCTCTATTTCTAAAGAATTAATGGGTGCAGAACATATTGCACCAGTTATGGTTCATAACTGGTGCAATATGTTCGTAAGACTCATAAATTTTCCAAAAACTATTAATTCATAATCATAGTGATTCCTAACAATTGCCTTATAAATGATATTTAAAAGTTTAGGGTCCATACCCCAACCTACACTCGCTAAATGACGCATTATATTTACACTTTTTTTTGCATTTTATTAACTATTTTATTAATATGGGAACCAAAAAGCATTTTTGAATCGAATACTACTCCTAAAAAATTATTTTCCTTAATTAAACTTATTTTTACAGAACAATATTTTATATTGATATGTACAGGGTTAAAATCAAACTTTTTACTAAATAACATTAGAGAACTTTTAAGGGGATTGATATCCAAATGTCAAATTTGGATATTTGTTTTATAATATTGATACATACAATTTAAGCCTTCATCGCTAGTGTTTTGTGCTTGTAATAAATTTCTAGTAGATGTTTACAACACAATATCATCAGCGTACTGTTAAAAATTTAGATTACTTAACTTCAGGAATTTATGTAATTGTGCGGTGTATATTATTTATATCAGGAGGTAGGCAAAATGTACTTTGTGCAAATGACGATTGTGAAGTGACTTTTTTATACATAATTTGGATAATGGCTAATTTTAAGTAAGTTTTTTAGTGAACAATGGGTCCCGTAATATTCGTTGCATTTATAAAAAATCATTTACAATATAACGTAGGGTATAAAATACTTTCTGATGCTGAGGAACTTAATAAACGACGTTGGGAATAATCAATATTTTATCTGATACAATATCTTTCGTATCAGTTGAAAATATCAATTTGAACTTTCTTATGTATTTTATCATGTGTGTACTTTGTTGTACTTATTGGCAAGATAACTTATAAAACTATAACAAATCGAGTGTGTAAGGTCTGTTTCCTTCGTTCGTCGTTTGTACAACTATAGCTATAATAAAAAACATGCCAAGACAATCTATCTGTAAGTTCATCAACCCTGTGACATTGATTACTTATTTTTTATTGTCCATTTTTCAATCTCTAAAGCTTGTTATCTACGTAAAGAAGTTGTAAATATAGATAATTTATTTAATTCTCTTCAGGCCTGTTAAAAATGTCTATTTGCATAATGTTATTTTGCATTTTTTTATTAATACTTTTGGCCTTTTGTAAATATTTCCCTATTTTTCTGTACATACAGATTATATTATTATTTGTTACATTATCGTATTTAGGATTAGTCCATTAATTTAAAGTAACAATTGTCCAATTTAGAATGTCAAGTTTTTTTTATTTAGTTTTAACCCCATTGTCTTGTAGCCAAAGCTCTATAAATAAAAAAAATCTGTGTTCGGATTATTTTTTCCATCCAATATGGTTCGGATACGAAATAATTTTCCCGCCTTTGAAAAACTTTTCCGACATTATTATTTTAACTCATTTTATTTTAAATGATGATATATGATTCGACGATAAAAATAATGCGATAGCTATGAACTACATTAAGTTTTGTTCTTTTATAAAACTAAAACCAATTTACAATCTACTTCAAATTGATTTGTTAATCATCGACGGTACTACTTCCTTGACAGAAATAAAAACTTTTTTGCAAGTTGCAGTTTAAAAAAATTTGTCTACGTAACCTATTTGCAAAAACTGTTTTGGGTAATGTTTGTTAGAGGTTAAGGATAGTCAATGAGGTTAAATATAAATGTTTGTATTATAATTGGGTTTCTTTCTATTTTTCGTGCTCTACACTACATAATAGACAACCAGTATCGAATTCATAGATGAAATTACGAGCGGTTAGTGTTGTACGCTGAATAGGGGAACCTAGAAAAATTTCGTGATCACACTCAATGAACAATTAGTTCTAGATGGTCTGCGAATGTACGTAATGGTACGATATATTCTACATAAGTAGATAAGGCTTTGTTGACTTGGGAACGGTGTACATAGGTGGTAATATTCACTGCCGCATCGCAACAACCGTTCACCAAACGGTCGTAGTCGTCCGCCAACGTCAAGCGCTAGTTCAGTTCGTGGTTTTGCTTGTTCGCTACTACAGTCACCCGCCGCCGCTCATTTGTTTGCCCAAGTCCGCTTCGTTCGCCGTAGCGATCGCACGTCGGGATATAATTCTCGCGCCAAAATGCTCCATAATGAGTGCACACGCGAAAGAACAGTGATCTAAATCAAAATTACGACACGTAACTGTTTCTATTTCATAAAACAAAACAGTTTTTAATTCACATTCTGTGCAAGATAACCTTGTGTGATAGTTTTAAACTAGTTTTTACTTCGTCTTCACGATGCAAACGATTCTCAATTTTAAATCAATGTTTAGTGTGTACGAATTAGTACTGGAAACATGTTGACAGGATTTATAGTGTTTTCTCTACTAGTTTTCCAGACATTCCCTTCGGGTAAGTTGAGTTTTCTTATACGTAGGTATATATCTACCTTCGTGCAAACAAAGACTCGGCGTTCTCGGTTCCATTACACTTCGCACTGCGATAACGACTTTGATTCTCCATGCAAGGCATGAAGGCAAACTTTAATTTGTACCGCCGATTATTTATTTTTCATTTATTTTACATTAGCTACTTTTGAGAGACTGCACCAATTAACTTGACAACAGGATTCATTATATAAATTGATTTTTAAAGCACTTTTAATGATCTTGCACCTATTAAACGAACACTTACAGTTCCTAGTATTTGAACCGCAGTATTTTTACTTGTTTACTTCGTATTTAATATCAAAAACTTTAAATCTTACCTACAAACCCACAGGTTCGTGTTGTAACGGTTTTTTAAAAGTATACAGATTATAATCTTAGTACAATTAAGACCATGTCAAGCTTTTCACATTAAGCACATTTACTTGATACCTTTTTGGAATATAGTGCAACTTAATTGCGTGCGCCATGTTATTCTTCAAGCTTGCTATTATGCTTAATTCTAAAAAATATATCTAACTGCTAAAACCCTTGATTTATTTGTATTTCAACGTGCAAAAGTAACAGTGTTTGATGTGGAAACTCCTACCCTGCTAAATGTATGTATATCTCTCCATTTCGTTAGTAGCAAATCCCAAATAAATCACATTAAACTAGTGTGGGAATTAGATAATTTTATAATAGAGAGGTACTAAAAAATGATAAAAAACGTATTCTACTGATTCTAGAAGTTTACCTACTGACGTAAAGTACCTAGTGTTCGAAACAAGTTTACTCAATACAAGGTGTATAATCCTTCGATTTTGTAATTAAAAATCATGGTAGTCTACATTACGTAGTGAACAAGGTGAAGGTTAAATATCTGCAGTTACACGTCACTCAACCTCAGAAAAATACGTATGTCAATAAAGATTGTAATTAGCAGATGCTAAAAGCAAGTTTTGTCTCTTCATAGAAAGGTCAGGTTTTGAAGCATGGCGCGATTTTTCTGTACGTATATAACACTGTACCTAACAATTTTTCTAGTAAAGGTTATGGCTACTCTAAAGTCTTTTAGGTTTACTAAAGATTTAGAAGAACAAAAATCCGTATGTTGATTGTTATGACAGAATTAGTGTTTCACAAAATCGTTTAATTTGGGTGCCTTCATGTTATATACCACAAATGGTATCATTATATCACTTTTATCAGCTAAAAACTAAAAACCTATCCGCGAAGTGCCAATGTAATAATTACAAAAAAAAACTTTGACGCCATATTCCATATTTATCGCCATCGCTAATAAAATTGTTTACTCAGTCCAACTTGAGCTAAATTTTTGTATTTATTTATTGCTCTCAATTTTTATTGTTGTTGAGCTAAGCTTTTTGTTAGTGTTGTTAAGAACTCGTAGAACTCGTTATTCAACATTAATTACGTCCTTAATTTATGAAAATATAAAATAAGTATGTGTTTTGGTTTTTATATGTACAAATTTAGGTACCTGAGCAGTTTTAATTTTTCAAATGCAATATAAATAAATCGTATGGTGCTGAAATGTGAATTTACAAAATATAAGTTCCTTGTTAATGGAATGGTGTTTTGAAATGTAATGTAAAAAGGTCTCTTGAACATTTTTAAGTTCATTCCTCACCATACGTAATGGTAACTTTTATATTGAAGTAAGTTTAGTAAAGAAAAGTTGACCATTTGAGACCATTGTAATTAGATGTACAAAATTATAAAAAGCCGTAAAGAGCAGCTAAAGAACTCTCATACTGGTGGTCGTACAATTTTTCGTCTTTCGGGACCGGCTAAGGTAAGGTCGACCATACGGCCAAATCTTATATTGTAATTTTTCTTTAATAGTTTAATTTTCTGACATGTTTTCGCTTGAAATCGTTATAAATATCTTTACGACCATTTTGAAATCGTCGTTTGGTATTGGAAAATAGCGTTTCCCTGTGTATTTCGTTGTAGTTTTTGTGCAGTGTAGAAGAACCATATTACATTAATCACATCAAAATAAAAAAAACATTGCAATACAGCACGGCATTTTTGTAAAATCTTGTGGATTGAATAAAACCAAACAATCTAAACACTGGAAGTGTGTCAAAAAACGTTCAGAAATAAAATAAGTATATTTAAATGCAAATATAAAGCCAATATAATAGGACTGACGCACCGTCACATAAAAACGCCAATAGTGAAGGTTGTGTGCGTATTAAGGTCACCTAAATCCATTTTGTTTTTGCTATCAACGTAATCTTGTGTAGTAGCAACGTAGTCTTGTGCTGTGTGCATTCAGTGTGATGAGGTAGAGTTGTAGCGCTTAACATGTGATGCACAACTAATAATTACAATTACTAAAGTAAGTTGTGGTGGTTTATGTTGGAGCAGGTACCTAATTACTTTAGGACTTCTTTCTGAACCTATTTTCATAGTCAAAAAAATTCCATGAGCTAATTATTGATTACTTTTTTTAAATTTAATACGGATTATCCCTGTCTCGTCCCATTATCTGACTGCATTTCCGTTTTTTTTTTTAATAGAATGTCAAGTGACAAGTGGTAAGAGCCACGTATACCCATAACAGTTGCAATGCCTCTCGATGCTTTAAATCGTAGTATCCTAGTGGGCGCTAAAAGTCCTAGGGGGCAGGGACCTCGGAAGCAATTAGGGGGCGTTGATGCTGTCCAGGGTGTGTTACCGCATTTGAAAAGAAAAACCGGAATTATCTATACAAAGTTCACTACGAATATATAATTCTTTTTCTTTGTGAGTTTATGTCATATGTTAATATATAAATAAAATACGTGTTTTTTTTTTAAACTTTTTGTAGCGTTGAATTTTTTTATCTTGCTAAGTGGGCGGTTAGCCAAAAATTTTGGAAACCTACTAAAACTTTTTTAACTTTACCAAGTTGACGAGTCCCATGTGCCTATGGTTTCACCAGCACCCGTACTCTTTAAAACACAACGCAGTAATGCTCATGTTATTGCTTGGCAGCAGAAATAGGTAGGTATCAGTACTTTCGTGTACGAATTCTTTCAAAACAAGCTCTACTGCTACTAAAACCCGCTTAAATTACGCTACATTTTCGCTGATTTAGAAATTACTTTTGGAGCTGGGATAGTGGCGCTAGGGCTGCCAGACGGGTAGAATACAAAAAACATTTATTTATTTAACTTTATTTTATTTTTGCTTATAAACTCTTATGAGTTGAATATAGTCCAAATTGTTGCCTGTAGTGTTGAGCTGCAGTAGGTTTCTTGTATCTAATTCTTGCTATCGTTTTTCAGTTAGTAACCAAAAAAAAACTGATGTGATTGTGCCTTCATTCTACGTAATGGTGGTACCTATAGTATGTGTAGAAATTTAAAGAAAAACAGGTGTGTGAGTCTGGCGCCTTAGACCGCACAGTCAAAAAACAGGTGTATGTACGAGAATTCTCGTGCTTCTGACACACTTGAATGGCGCTACTATAACAATGACTTTGACATCAATTTTAGTGTCACATAATTTCTTTGCAAGGATGACATCGTCTTAAGTACGTGACGGTATTTGAATGTAAATATTAACAACTTCGAAGCCATCATACCTTAAGGGCGCATTTAGTAGACACGAATTTTATCGCGCTCACGCCGCGCGTCAACTGTGTAACTCTCATGGAAAATGCGCTCTATTTATTTAGCTTTTACGTTTTAACTTAAATGAGCGTACCGGGCGCGCGAGCGAGACTGGCTTGTCTTTATTATTCCGAGGAATTTAAATGTTGTTGCCTAGCAAGTAGAATTCATATTCACCATTAATATACGTGAAAGCGCGGTATATGCGCGGTCGCCGCGCGGCGGCCGCGCGAATACTTTCTCATCGTGTAACTGGGCGCTAATTGTACAGAGCCCATTGGTTAATTTTAAAGTGATATAGAAGTAAGTATTTACGTAAGTAGCTTAATATATTTATATACATTCAAAGAATAAAGATTAGTCCGTATAAAATAGGAAAGGAGTATCAAAACGTACAGGAGATTCTTATAACTAGTTATAAAAAACCGACCTCATTACCGCGGTCTCCTCGACGATATCTGAAACGCTATCATATGAGCCCAAACACAAAGTAACTGATGTATACTGTCGAAGAGTTCCTCTCATCTGTCTGTCATTTCCATCATCAAATCACCTCTAGGTCACAATAACATTTTGTTTTCATTAGAATCACATCTATGTGCCAAGTTTTATTTAAATCGGTTAACGGAAAGTGGGTGAAATTCAATAAACCGGATACGTCCTCTAATTTGTCATCTTTAGAGGTGAAATATTGTCTTGAATTTTGAATGGGATCACTACTGAGGTACACTCTTTCCAATAAAAAAGAATATAGAATATACAAAAAAACAAAAGAAATACAGTCGAAAAAAAAAACTTGTTGGCGAATCACTACATTTTGAGTAGAAAGACAGAAGGAGCTTGAAAACTTGAACCCAACTACATAAACAAATCTTTTTTATACAATTCGCTATTATAGCCTTTCTTTCCCAAGATATTGATATGTATATCCTAATGAATTCATCTGATAGATAACGTCTAGACTTAGTGCCAGCTGAAATCTGGAATCTTCGAGATACGCTCACAAATATCGGAGTAATCGTGTAACATGCAAAAAAGTACAATCGGATTTCGAACCTTATCTTGATTTTTATTTTCAAAACTTTCCACTAAATATAAGCAATAAAAGTTACATTTTTAATGTTAGTTTAGACGATCTGATCTGTGTAATGTTGTATCTATAAATGAATTCTCCTATTTTATCTTCAGCTATAAAATTTATGGACCTGGCAAGAATGGCTGCACGTAGCAACGCCTTTGCCAAAACGCATATTCAAAATTGAAATAAATGTAATGGAACTTTATTTGGACTCGCTTTAATGTATTGCAGCTTAGAATAATAACGCATAGAATGATAGTTTCATATCAAACGAACTGT